ATTGTGAGTAGAATACTTGTGACTTGGCTGGAGTTTTGTATTACTTTCCTTTAATAAAATATTGCGTAATAAAATCGGTTAATTCTTTTTGAATAATCCTGTATATAATGTTAATACCACTGAATTTCATCTACAGAGCATCACCATTATTTAGATACTGCAAGAAAATTTCAATAAGAAGCAACTGTTTATATATATTCTGACATCAGTGATTTACAGAAGACCATTTCTGATTGATAATCATTGAGAAGTTATAAGTATCTTTTGTCATTAAATTTGTTAGTGTGCATTAGAAAAATGTGCTGTATTCTTCGGGAAACATCTTCTATGCAGGATTCTTTATAAAATGATTTCTAGCAATACCTGTGTAGCTGGTGCTCTGAGTTCTTGAAGGAAGTTGCTAAAAGAAATTTGTAACATGTACTTAGAAACTTCAGGGTATATATGTCTTGATGCATAAAACTTAATTCCAGGCAGGAATTAGCCAAATACCTTCCACTGTCAATTCCACTAGGATGAACTTAAGTGTTTTTAAAATATTATTAACCAGACAGTTAAATTCTTTCATTATAGATACAGTAAAACTTGGTTATAGCAACATCGGTTTCTGCGACACCTTGTCTATTGCGTCAAATATTCAATGGTACGAACTAATTCCTCATAAAGCAACTGTTTTTATACCTTGCTTAGTACGACATGCACAAATGCATCAACCTCGTATGTAACGTCATTTTCATTCCTGAATTTCTCTGATATCGTGGGAAAGTTCGATGTGTCTGCCCACCCTCACTTTCTCTACTTGCTGACGTGACTGTCCTGGCAGAATACGACCGCGGGCTGCAAGAGGAGTGTGGGTTTTATGCGAAAACAAGGGTGTGGGGTGGGACTGCGTGAATAGTGCAAGAGGACCCGGCAGGTTGTTAACTGCATTCCTTTCCTAGAATCTCGTCTAACAGGACCTCACATTGTCTACTTACCCTATAGTGTTCCTGCCTAAACCCAGAGAAGTGCAGTAGCGAAAACATGGCAATGAAAAGGAAAGTTTTAAGCATTGAAGAGAAAGTTAAAGTGATTCGTGAAATATTGTGTGTATTGTCAGCGAAAAGCGCTGTAATATGTCTTTGATATTACACATTTGGGCAATTCCACGTTAATGTTACGTTAGTCTGTACTTAACTACGTATTTCACTAAAAAATGCAACATTTTAACTCGGTTTTTGGTAGATTTTTACGTGACTAACATAAGGCTACTGTGGAAGTGCCCATTTCGGTTACAACGACATTCGTTTATAACGACACTATTTTTAGGTCCCTTTGATGACGTTATAACCAAGTTCTACTGTACTTGAGAATATGATGCTTGTAGATGGAGTTAAGTATGGGTGAGTGGAGCAGCTGCCCAAGACACAGGTAATAAGAGGTCTCGTTTCCTACAGGTAGGAAATAAATGAAAAAGTGGTATATGAAACAAACTGTGAGCTGTATGATTGAACAAAATATGCTTCATATCAATAAGAGTATAAAAAAAAGGAACACCATGGTTTTAGTCCGCAAGTGAACTATACCGACCAAGCGACCACCACTTGTCGGCGAAGTTAGTGCCAACTTTAGCGGATATAGGGTGCCATGTGTTCAGCGCAACGGGTCCCCACAGCCGTTAATTTCAGTTTTCTAGACCGGAGCCGCTGTTTCCTTGAAATAGCTCCTCAATTATCATCAGGAGGCTTAGTGGACCCCGTTCCAGACCCACTACTTCTCAGAAAGAAATCTCGTAGCGCCGGGAATCGAACCCGGAACCTCAGGATCTGTAGCCAGGAATTCTGATCACTACACTACAGAGGCGGTCTAAAAGTGTAAATAGGAACCAAATTTAATCAGTCTAATTTTAAAAAGTGTCCTTGTCTAGGACGTGATGCCATGTAGTCTGGGTGAAGTTCATTTAGGAAGAATGACCTGCCTCAGTCTTCAAGACCAAAGTGTAAGCCAGCTAAAGAATCAGCAAGCAGAGCCACCTCTTACTATCGAGTCCTGAGGATGAAGGCCAGTACATACCTCCAAAATGTCAGGGAACTCTTATTGAATTACAGCCATCATTTCCCAGAACACGGTGTTCTTTACAGCAATCATGAGAACCCCAAGTTGATTTGAGTTTCAATTTGGTTGTTATAAAAGGCTTCTCTAAAAATTAACATTTTATTTTATATCAAAAGTAAAAGAAAAATACAGTGTCATAAATGCTACCATCACAGCTTTGTTTCTAGTATCCTCAAGCTGAAGGATTGTAGTGCCAGAGGCATGAAAATGCATCCTTGTCTGATAGGACTGAATAATGCTGAAATACTTAACTAAGTCAAATTCAGAGTAAGGACTACATTGTGAACAAGTTGAGACAATATTCCTTCCCATTATGCCTTTACAAGCTATGGTGAAGATGGTCTGGGTCCATCTCCAAATAGATGACAGATTAGTACATAACTGTACTTATGCTTATATCTGTATCTGCCTGAGAGAGCTTGTAATGTAAACTACTTTCCTCCAAATACTTCCATAAAATTAACTGCACACATTGAATTGACATGAGAAAAATAATTAGATACCAAAATGTTTAATGCATTGATAGTTTTTATTACATTTTGGAAGTACCAGTATTCAGTAAACGTTATATAACAGATTTCCAAACAAATAATTTTCCTTTAATTTAACCTGTAACCGTTCCACTGCTATGCAACCTATTTAAATGCAATTAATTTTATTAATTAGAAATTTAATTTTCACAATGGGATGCAATGAACAAGTGCAGTGAGACACAGGTCGATTCTTGCATGTAAGAATCAGCGTCTTCCCACACGTGCAGCAGAAAGAGGAAGACACCACATCGCAGGGTTCTTAGAAATTTCACTTGAAAGTGTAACAACACAATCTTTATTCAATGCTTGACAGCTTGTGCATACCATAACTTAAAATAATGGGGGTTTTAATGACCCAAGCCAAGTGTAACATTTGTCAAGATTCTGACGGAAAGTACGTTACAGCTCAGAAACCTAAACTCCTTGCAAGCTTTAAACAGAGTTGAGGAATAGCTAATTAAGAGACACCTATTTTTTTAAATGTGACCAATCACGAAAATTTAAGGGTGTGACAGAGCCGAGACGCTGATGGAACAAGGACTTGATAGTTCGAAGGGAAGTCAGTTGTCAAAGTTAGTCATACACCGGAATTCGTGGAAATCAGACGTAAATGTCGCACACTGGATCTCGAAGAAATCAGATGTAAAAGTTACAAGCCGGAGCTTGTAGAAACAAGACATAAAAGTTACTGATTTTGAAGTTGTACTAACAAGTGTTTAATAATAATAAATCTAAACTGGATATGTGGTTTTGTGGTTTGTGTTCACACTGCTTCTTCAAGTTGTGGCCCGTTCAAGGCTCTGAGATAAGAGAACATGAGCTCTACCGAACCAACAAACCTCACCCCTTTATAAATTAAACAACCCTGAGATAAAATTTAGACCAAGAAAGAAGTACCTACAAGTGCGACCAACGTGTGTGGGCGAGAGAGGATAATAATTGAGTTTAACAAAAGGGGACGGTAAACAAAGTGGCACAAAAGTAGGGGCTATAAAGTGGTTCGGTTATAAACCTGCCAAAATTTCACCCTTCCAGGGTGAAGATGAATGGCTGAACTTGTTCTATGTTTGTGATTCAAAGTACAGACTATGTGTTTTGTAACAGTATGTGTGTTAAGTGGAAAGCTGAGTTATGGCTCATTTATCGACAATTTATAATTGTGTATTAGAATGTTAGAGGAAACAGTCATTGCCTATTTAAGGCACTATCAACAGTTGGATGGAAGGTCTGAGGAAATCCATGAATAAATGTCAGGATAGCTTTCTTCTCAGAGATCCAGACCTGGCTCTCCCAAATCAAATATTGTTAATAACTGACTGTGTCATTTGTTTTACATTGTTAACTGTTACTTGTTGTTTAAAACAATAAAAATATGGTTCTCAATATGTAGAACATTTTATTACCACTTTGTGTTATGGAAAATAAACTTTGAAAAATAGTGTAAGAGGATATGTTATTATTCATACAACTTCATGGAATTGTGTAAGGTGCCTGTTAAAGTTCAGTTTGAGTTACACCAAACTGAGAGTTTGTGAAAACCTAATTACAAGCTACAGTAGATGCTACAAGTTCAACCCTGTCCAGTACACTGTCTATTAGGAGGCAATGATGACTTTGGAGATACAAGTCCAGCTCAAAAACAAAACTGGCAGCAGTGGCAGACATAACTAAATACAGATACTTGTATATGAGAATATCATAATGGGTGACATGCATCTTTTACACACTATTTAGTAAATTAAATGTATTTTTTATTCCAAATCAGACCATTTGATGTTACCTTACAGACAGAAACTTCAGTACTGCTACCAATATATGAAACCTTCTGACTCATATAATGTGTGTTAAACTCCTTGCCTTCCAGACTGTAATCTTGCAGTGACTGATAAAGTAATATCTTTTGCTTATATAGTGACAACAGAGCCTTAGACTTTACTTTTAACATGATGAAATGAGTAGCAGATCAACTGGTAGTTTCTCAAGAACTCAGATCCATGGAGTTATTTAATTAGTTCTAATTAGATCATTTGGCAATTATATATATATATATATATATATGTAAGACTGGAAAATTCTATGACCTGCCCACAGTATCAAGCATAAATTTGTCTCTATTTGTCATGAGATTTCACGTAGTTTGTAAAATGTGTACCTTAAATGTTTTCACATCCAGATTAATTATTATGCACTTATCAGGGTTTACATGATATTTTTATCTTTATCTTATCAGGAATGATGATTTTCTGAGATACTTCCTAAGATTCCATTATTTGAATTGTTTATGAAACCTTCTAGCTACACTTTATAAAGAAACTATTTGTTTTGC